CTCTCTATAAATATGCCCGTAGACTGCTAGTCTATTAAGGCCCCGTTGCTATAGCATTCCAGTTGGTAACTGAGGCTTAAAAATTTGAAAACTCTCATGGAGATTTCAATCAGTTTATCGTTGGCAATATTTAGGTTGTGTCAGTAGATAGAATCGATCCATATTATTATCGTCTGGGAAACCTGTTTCAACCAGGGAAAACATGTGCGTATGGAATCTGTTCAACATTTATATTGAAAAACCAGAGACTATCTGTAATGAATAAAAGAGCAATAACACCTATGTAATTGGTCTCAGTGTGTCTATAGTTGACGAGTAAGACGGTCTGTGAGGATTTTTCGTGGATAAGATGGAGTGTTGTACACAAGTGGAAAAATGAACAATCTTATTGCGGTTTTTAGCTTTTCAAAAATCGTCACTTCTTACACCACGAATCAGCATCGTTTCTCAGACCTCCTTGCTGTAAAACACATATACATGCTCTTTTGCATCGATTCTATCGATCTTTTTCGTGTCATTAGGTAAATCTGTTATTTTTTATTTTATTTTCTCTGATTATTCACGAGCATTTCCGCCATATTATAAGGACATATCATCGGAACCTGTTTTTTTTCTTTTCTTTAGAATACATTTATCGGGAAAATGGAGCACCAGTTTGATAATTAATCACATTAAGTGAACGCGTTTCGAATACGAAATCGAAGAATATTAATCTGAATCGTTTAACAATTGAATCGCTCAAAATGTGTTCGAATGAATAGAAAAAGTGGTTCGGACAAACAGAAGAAGGAAAAAGCAACAGATGTATCGTATAATACACTGTTCCCTGGTGGCGATGGTCGATAGATTGTCACTCACTCTCTCCTCCCAGAGTCGGTATGTGTTCCATGTTTTGTCATTCTTACTTCTTTCTATTGAATACATAACGATACAATTTTTCAGGTAGGGAAAAGCGACCAATCAAAAGGCTGCCATATAACACAGTGAGGAAACTCAGATCATGGCGGTGTTGCTGATGTTGTTGTTGTTGTTGTTGCTGTTGTTGTTGTTGGTAGTGGTGGTGGTGGTGGTGGGATTCGAACACACGTCCTCCAAGGTGATAATTTGGTGACGTTACCAACGGGTCACTATCGCCCAGACATTGTTGCTTTTATCCCTCAACCAGAGATTGGAAGCGCTTAATGGTTCACGAATCCATTACAGAAAAATGATCAGGTAACATTTTTGTAGTGAGTAAACTAAAGTAAACTACTGATGTGATTAATGAGAATGTAAATTTAACCCCGGAAGTATGATGCGTTGGACTTAAACCGATCTAGTTCTGGCTTGAAGTCAACCAGTTTAACAAATCAGAATATATAATTACCTTGCTGTGCAAACACCGATAAGTTTATCAGCCATCAATCTATAAAATGACTGCTCACACACAAGACAGCAAGCAAATTTGTTTCATTGAATTTGACCCCTTTATTGTGCGTAAATCATTAACAGTGATTATAATTTAGTGATGCGTGCTATATGGAGTAAGTCATCCACTATGTATGAAGTGAATGTCAAAGTATACTTGTGAAATAAAAGTGTCACTCACCTATAGTACTGTCACAGTAGTCTCGAATTGGCTGATATATCATGGGCAAAACTAGGCGATTCACCGGAGTAGTTTGTTGCTCGTGCTTGGGATAAATTGACGAGAAATCCGCTCAGCAGACTATAGATGCTAACGTTTCATAATCAAAACGCCTTTCTGTGACACCTTTCAGCTTCGCTTTAAGGGACATTATTCTCAGGGATGCTTTATTTCCATGAAGAAATAAGCTTTACATCTGACGTACAGTTGGAAAACAACCTGGCTGTCATCTCGCCTGAGCGAGGAGGAATTTCGACCGGACCGTCTCGCTTCACCCCGGCTCGAAATGACAAGTTCTGACTGATGGAATACATCAGTTTTTTGTTGTTGCGGTGGTTTAACCTGTTGGCTTGTTTTTGTTGTTGCACACGAAATCACTTACCACGTACCGTTTACAAACCAGACTAAAACATTAACATATTTTTTCAATGATTGTCATCGTATTAGCCACAACCACGAAGGTCTGACGTGCGTGAATGATTTTAGACAGAGTTTGCTTTGAGAGTTTGGGTGATTTGGAAATAAAAAAAGGTTTGCTAATAGCTCTTTACTGCGGTGGTTCGATCATTGGTACTGAATACCAAACAGTTCAATTCATGTTTTTTATGGGTAGTTTGCATAATGTGGGTGGAAATGTGGGTAAACAATTGATCGAAGCTGATTGTTTTTGTTGGACAGCTGATTATCAGAAGACACGAACAACCCTCTGTAGTTCGTCACACTTCCACGTGCGACTGCACATTGGCCAAGTTGACGTTGAGAAATCAATTGAGGTTGTACTTGAATTATGAGCAGTGAATCAGTTGAAAATTTCAGACGACTATTTTTTGAAAAAAGCGCCAGGCGAAAACGTTGTTAGATGCAACCAAACATCTATAGCTTCGGAACACTTGATAGACACAGCTTTGAAATATTCCAACCTTAAGACAATTGCATACATGGAAGAGGGATTGGGCGAATGGATGCCTGATAATAGCAGTCTATATTGAAAGAAACAGTATTGGCCAGTTTTTGGCAATACAACATAATAACAGCAGACAGTCTATGAAAAAAGTGTAGAATAATTTGTGAATGGAAATTCTGATTGTATTTCAATGTCCCTTCTGGTGATATCACACACTTATTGCAATATAGTCAAATAAAGTCACCATGTGGTCGAACGAATCTTATTATTACGGTAAGTAAGCAGGCCATTTTCAACTTTACAACCAAAGATATCCATGGATTAAAGAGTTATACAAATAGCGCAATACAAAGATGTGCAACACATAACGGAAGGGGATAAATGCGAATGGAGGCAATAAAAGCTGGACTGTGTGGTAACTGGTTGTTGAGGTTAAACGCTGACTAAGTGGTTGAAGTACGATCTGGATAATTACTGTCGCCTTCTCGGTTGTTCTCGTCATCCTTTTAGATATTTCTTACGAATAGATCATCTTCCCTGGCGACTGAAGTTCTGTCGCTTAGTGAATGACGTTCCTCGTAAATTTATGATAGATGTCTCGGGACTAAGAACTGTGTCAGAGGCAGTCAAAGCGTGTGGATTGTTGGTCTTCTCTGAAATTATCAGAAAAGTTAAGGTTTTCATGCAAGCCACTCAACATTTGCTGATTGTTGGCTATTTGGTCCTGGACAAAGTATATTGTGAACGTGTAGTCCACATACTGATTATCAAACATGGTGTTGTTGATTGCAACTGATGCGTTCCTCAACAGCTAGCAGATAACTATTTGCCTCAGAGGGGTGCCCCGTACTAAACCATCAACTTCCTTGTTTAAAATACCATTCCAAATGTCGCATAATGATCAAGTCAAGATCAACGTTATGCACCCAGTAGGATGAATCTTTAGCACTTTAGACAAGTTACGGTGAGGAAAATGCTAAGCATAGGAAAAAGAATATATTTAGTAGATAGAAAATAAATAAATGTAGTAAAATCCGAATGTGACCGATAATTTGCCCTGATGGTGTGGAAAAAGTTGTTTTGGGGCGATCTTTTTCGCCTACTTCCACTTGTGAGTATTCAGATGTTGAGTCAAGAGTGCTGAAGTATTTCGCGTTGATTAGTGCGTCGAAAAGATTGTCAACTCTGGGCAGTGGAAACGCATCCATTTTGTTACTTTATTCAATTGCCTATAGTCGACACACAGACGGAGGCCGCCGTCTTTCTNGAAGTGGAAGGTCGGATGAAGTTACATTCCTCCATATGCCGAATGGTCTTGGTTAGCTCATTCATTCAAAATGCCGGTATGCAGCTGGGAGGAATCTTTATCGGTGCGGTTTTTCCTCTATCTATTCGATGTTTCACTACGCTTGTCCGCCCTAGCTGAGTGTCACTCCAAGTAAATGCGTCAGCATACCGTTCGATCCCGCCCTGAAGTTCCTTAACGTATTTGGGCTCCACTCCTGGAGGATTATTCTTGATTAAATCGCAAATTTTCTGTCCGACAGGAGGGGTAATACCTTATTGCGAAGCCAGTTGCTTAAATTCATTGATACTACCCAAAGGCGCTGATCCCCATCTCGTGGTCTGAGGTTGTGTGAATGCGACTCACTGGCCCCTGATCGTAATCGAACACCTTGATAAATCAATTATAGCCCGGTTAGCCTGGAGGAAGTCCATTTCCAGGACGACACCCCATGGTATACCGTCTGACGCAAATAGTGTTTGTGAAATTATCATGCCATTCACGCTGATAGGGGCAGTTACCGTGTCCTTGACGTGCAGGAGACCGTTGTTGGTTGTTACTAGTTTGACCCCTGTTTCACTAAGTGGTACATCTAAGGGGAATTGCCTGCTGTGTATTAATAAGCGAGCAGCCCCCGTGTCGATCAATGCCTGCAACCTTCTCCCCAATAACATGATAGACAGCATGGGGTTACTTTTAAGCCACGGTAGTTAAATGGACAGATGAACGCTGAACCCACTGATTTGGTTGTGCTTGCATTTGTCGGCACGTTTTCCAAAACGCCGGCAGTACTCGCAGTTGCCCCGTTGTGACGGCTAACGCCTCTGAAGATACCTTCCGGGGAAACTCGGTAGTCTATGTGGTTGTTGCCCGCGAAAATCCCGAGTGTCTAGAAACCTGTCCCTGGGATTCGGCGAGTGGATATAGGCGAAGTTCTCTGGCAGACCAAGCCGATGCTCACGTTTAACATTTTCGAGCAGTTGGATCTCTCGTCCCGTCTCCATTGCGGCCTGTAAGGTTGGTGGCAGGTGTCTACAAAACCTTTTGACGACCTCCGGGTGTCGAACGCCGACACATACTTGATCCAAGATTTTGGAGTCTAGGCTTTCATCGTCTAATTCGGAGAAGGCGTCTTCAGCCCCGCGTCGCATTTGTCGAATGAATGAATTAATTCTTTCACCTGGCTATTGGACCGCCTTCTGTAACTTGTATTGAGCCGTCAACCTGTCGGTATCATCCGTAAGATACTGACGCAGACGGAAGAACGCGTTTGCAGCCATGGTGTCGCCAGGCCGGATCACGTCTTGGGCTATATCCTTCGCTTCACCGTCCAACAGGGAAAGCAGAACACGCTGCCGGTTGTCCTCTGGGAACAACTCGATATATTCTTGGGCATCTGCGGCCCAGTGCCGTAAATCTTCTCCCAAGACAAACTTGTTCGGTGCGAGCAGGCTGGGTGAGGGTTGGGTATGTAAATGTTCGAGGAGGAAAAGTAGGGACAGAAGGTCGGATAGCAGGTTTCCGAGGGTCCAAAAGGTCGATGAGGGTAGTTCAGGTTTGGATTCTTCGGATTTGGTTTTGTTTGGCATGTTGGATCCTGGCAGGGTCGCCACTTTGTAGTATGTTTCGGTCAGAGAAAAGATGCGACGGATTCGGAAGAAATTATATTGGTGCAAAACGTAGCAACAATGTGGGTCCTGTTTTGGACTTCGTTCTCAGTGTCTTGTACTGCTGTGCTGGGCATCCCGCAACTTGTACGGCCTGTAAAAAGAAAGGGGAAAAGGTGGTTGTCAACGACAGTTCGACATTCAATTACTGGACGTCAGTCAGTTTCGGTTTCAAACTACAATAAAAGTTGGTTAATGGTAGTGAATTTTTCAAGGTCATTTCTGGTTTTACAGAACGTAAACACATACCATTCAGTTCTTCCAATGTATTTCACTGGCATTTATAATCCAATTCCTATGGTTAATAAGTTGAAGTTGTTTATTTCGCTAACACTATCATGCAGTCCTAATCTCTATCCCTTTTATCAGCTAAAGTGTACGTGTTTTTTATGGACACTCATCTGTTTACGATCAACTGGCAAGAAAACAAAATCACTTCTTTGCTATTGTTCATCCGTCACCCAAAAGTTTAGATAACAAATAAAATTGATTGATACAACCGACGTTAATTGGCATATGATCATTCGATAATTATTTTTGTTGTTTCGAACAAATGGCGTTATTTAAGTGCCCAAATCGGGTTGTATCAAATCTTTTCTGTCCAAATCAACTTGAAACTCCCACACAGAGAGTTACGCCGTACTACCAGACACATTATGGAGGCTAATTCTGAACCAGCCGATTTCCACATTACTAAATCAACATTATGTGCTGCGCTGTTCCGGAGTGGGGGTTTGACATTTTACTTGTGTCAGGTGCCCGATCCGCAGTGAAGTCTGAACGCATTTTTGTTGACGTACTCAGGGTGCACAGAGTGGCTACGTGTTGAATTTTGGTGCGATAAAGTTCTGCGTTATATTAACAATCAAATCGGATCGAGTGATGAAGTGAAGAAATAATGAATGTGCCGTTTCAACCATTTCACCGCTACGTACATCAATCAAATTGCGTACATATTGTAGAACCCACAAACTGTACCCCACACTGTTCAGTGTAGCAATGATTGGGAGGGGGAGGAAGGTTGGGGCATTCTTTTATTCTGTTTTTCCACAACAGCGAGAATCGTTTTCTTTCTTCAATAGGATGTGACTATACAATCAATTCTCATAAAAAAGCGAGAACTGCGGTCGGTTAGGTGCTGCTCGGGGACAAGTTGAACGACGGCGGTGGGTTTTAAACCCACGAATTTCAGATCTATATGATGTTAAAGTAAACAGTACACTCATCATCATAGTGTGATTAAGTTGCTTAGCTATTCACGTCATTTGCAATGTCTGGTTTCGAATTGGGAATAAACCCCTAATCTTGTGAGGAGAGAAAAGATTATGACAATAAAATCGTAAACACCAATAATGTGACATACAGATAATTTCATTATTGGCCAAATTGAATAGAAAGCACACATTGTGCGAGATGTCCCAGATTCGACTTCAACAAATGAGGGTGAGAAAGGGACTCGACGAATCAACATTAATAAGGAAAGACAGCAAAGTTGAGAAAAGTTTACCTCACGGATGAATTTCATTTTTCATTTCCATTAAATTCCTCATAAATATTGAAGGCCAATCGTTTGATAGAATTTATAAAATTAACTACCAAAGAGTTATAGGCTTGAACATTGAGAAAATTTAAGTGAAATACAGCCGTCCATGAATCCTAATGTTCATGAGCACCCAACTGCATAATTTGTGATAAATAAATAAAAAATAAAATTAATGTCTTTTTACTTCCTTTTCTATTTATTGAATATAACAATGTACAGTCAACATTCAGGAAGGGGGGCCGCGACCATACAAAGTTTGCCTGGAAAATACACAATTAGGGAAGACGGGTGGCGATGGAGTGTGACTCCCAGGTCACAAATTGATGACCCAACCACTTGGCAACGATGGGGTTAAATGAGCGGATTTTGTCTGTTTATGCACTAATCACTTTTTATTGCACACTTTAGTATGATGAACAACACGCGAGGCGGACTCCATAGCCACTGCTCAGTATCGAAAAGTGGCAATCTGAGCCCCGGAACTTCGAGCGGTGAACCTCTACAAGGCTTCGATAGGCTAGGCATAGTGTTGACCTGAGACGACAGTGAAGCTGAATACCACTGAAGCTGGGTGTCGGTGTCGGAGCTCGAACCTCGGACCATAGGGTCCAAAACACGTTGGTGATAGCTGTTGAGCCAAGGCGCCATCACCACCACCGCTCAATTACTCTTCTTGAACCAATTATTGAAAATTCAATGCGCGCGAAAGTTTTCAGTAGTGCAACGACAATTGAGGCAACACAGTACTGTGGTTAAATATTATTATTTCTTAGTGTAGACTTTGTTTGTGGAATCTAACCAGTTCCCCACGAATTCCGTATCGTAACAAAGAAGGCTATCTTAGTACACTTTTTTCAAGTACTGCTTAATTATCGGTTATCTCCGCAACCCCATGTGGTTCCGTGAACACACTAATAGTGAAATTCACGCACATGGTGTCACCGGGAACAAAGCCTCGATCAAGCTTACTTCACGCGGGTTACTGGAACTCTCAGGGAATCGCGGTTGTCGCTTTCTACAAATACAAAGCACGGGTACCAGACTGTGCAACATATTCCACATTTATCCTTTTGGCATAGATCATGCTTGAATAGAATTTGGAAGGAATTAAATTGACGACGTATCTCCGTAATTCTGCATCCCGAACCACGCTGTATGAGTCAAAATGAAAAGAAATCACTCACTCAATCGACCAAAATAGGTATAAAAACTAGCGAAAGCACGACGTGATCGTGAGCAATCCATGAATGAGCGAGCAAACTGTGCGGGTTTCTCGTCGTCGTCGGCGACCGGGATCACATTGGTAGTGCAACTAATCGGACATGGGAGCACCGGGCACGTTTACCAGATTAGCGACACGAACCACAAATCGGTCGTGTACATTCTGAAATTCTTTATCCACTGATGAAAACAATGATCGTAGTCTGAACTTTCCTGAGATCAGAAACAATTAAACAAAACCCTTGATAGCACAGAAACATTACGCCAATTCTACCAGGATGGTGGGTCTCGGAATATCTTCCTAATCTGACGCAAGTAAGTGGATACTGAGATGCAATCACGTCATCTTTTATGTATGACATGTTTAGTTATGCCTGGAAATTTAAATAGTCCAGGATGATAGACCGCAAGCTTTACTGACAAGAGAAACATGCATTCCATGTTACCTCTATTATATAACTCAGTCTTCATACAATCATCTTGTTTATGCTGTCTGCACTGGTTTTGTGGTTTGCATTCACTTTTCCAGTATTTTCGATTATTTTTCTTTACACATGATAGTACGTATTGCTTTTCTAGATCCTTCTTCAATTGTCTATTATTCTTCTGTATGCTTTTCTTCTTAACACACCAGAAACGGCTACGACTGTCTTACAGTTGTGGTACCATAACGAGATCAATGGACCATCAGAANTCAGAACTGCGGTTGAGAACGATGCACAACCTAGGGTCAAAAATTCATTCTCAGGTAGATCTATCGCCTCCTTACAAGCTGAGTTTCCCCAGACTTCATGTTGCTTCCCGCAACTGGTAGATTAGATTAAAAAAACTCTTCTCCCAAAAAATCCCCTTAGCCGACCATAATACAACTAACCCCCTGCTCCCCGACAAATTTCTGCTTCACGATCAGCTGCATTGTTTCTACACTT